CACTGTTTATTTTAGTACGTAGTTACTACTTAGTTAGTTATGACTTAGTTCCCGTCACCGGTTTCCTGTTCCATTCCGCACCATTTGTAATCTTCTTCTTTGAACTACTGGTTTGGGCCACCCCCTCCCCACCCTCACCTGTTACGAGAGGAATGGTGGATGGACAGCTCACTGTGCTTCCTTTTAGGATCGTAAGAGTACCTGGCAATGAGATATCGCTTATGCAGTGATCTGCGGGGCCCAGCCGATGCAATCAACGTTTTTATCATCCTACTTGAGTCCGGCACAGGGTCAACCCTACGTTGTTACGAGTAACAACGGGGGGGTCGTACCTGGTTGAGTTTGTAGGAGGGGGGGTCGTACCCGCTTTAGTCGCTCGAAATCACATGTGGGATTGAGGTGAAAGTGAAGTTTTCGTGGGTAGTAGGCTGGGTGAGTTGGGGCGCAGGAAAAAAATTTGCCGTTTCAGCGCGCGTATACCCCCCCCGCTCGACGGCATTTTTGGAGGAAAAAGTGGGCGGAGTTTGGTGGGTTGAGTGGTATCAGAATTAAATACTATAGAGAGATGATGGTGGTCGAGGTGTCGAAAAGGGGGTCGTATCAAATCCACCTTGGGGGAGGGGGGTCGTAAAAATTTTTCAAAAAGTAACAACGATAGGGTTGACCCTGGTCCGGCGTCAACCGAGCCGGGAAGAAGGAAGGCTTTGTTGGCCAAGTTGGAATCGATCTGAAATCTGGCCAAGAATCTTGCATATGGTATACGGCGGCACTTCGTCACGGCAGCTCTTGGCTAGGTCTAGGTGGGAAAAGCAGTCACCGTTGACCAATTTTTTGGGGTATGCCGGGAATCTGCTTTTATTAAGAAACGCAGTCGTATTTAAATGCGATGGGGCCTTTATAAATATTTGTGGCAAATCAACGTTTTATCTTTCGAAAACATGTCTGGTACCAATTAGCCGAGTTCTAAGAAGAATGGATGATTTAAAGCCCAGTATGTCCTCCCATAGGGTACCCCCCAGGAGGCCCGTCGCGCGGCAAGAAGGCGAGTCAGCGGACGAGTCGCGCGCGTACTGTAGGGATTTCGCGTCAAGTTAAATAGAATGTCCCATTGCACGTCCTACATCGCACATCACGCGCTGCGAACTCGTCCGCGACTCTGCCTTCTTGCCGCGCGACGGGCCTCCTGGGGGGTACCCTCTCCCAAACCGTGCCCATCTAGGAGGCTTCGATTGTCACTATTGCACTTTACGCTCTGGGTTCCTGAGAACGAGAAATTACAAAGCCTTGCAACAATTCACTGACATGTCTGGATCAAAATTCCTTTCATTCTGAATTTCAGGTCGCCCATGGATCCTCATCGCTATATTCGCCGATGTGTAGCTATGTCGCGTAGCAGTCATCCCAATGCTCCCTCATGGAGCACCAGTGGTAGGGTGTCATTCATTGCTTTTACTGCATGACAACAGCACCAGCAGTCTGATAACTAGTGTTATTACTTGAACAGACTTAGTTGACGACACTTCTCTACAATTACTGGAGGTTTCGTTGTGATATGCTAGCATTTGAGTGAACCGAAAGTTATGTGTGAGCACATGTGGAGTATCTGACGATCTACAAATTCGAAGCGATAATAAGCCGAATACTTGGAATGCGCCATGCGATTTCTTCTTCTATTCAAACATGTGGTGGCATTTGCGCGTATGAATCCGTTTAACTCTGGGGCGAGGGTAAATTGTCGCATCGCTCTATAAACACTGATTTCATGAATGCTTTTCTGTGGTGTTGGCTAAACGACTTGGAGGAGGAAGTTGAAAGTCGTGGTAAGCCCGGACTGATTTAGACCCGGGTTCTGATCTTTGCTGGCGGTGAAAAACGTCACTATCCTATTTTGAGTTCCATAATAATTGTCAGCCCTGTCCAAATTCATGAATTTTTCCTATGTCTCATTCGGATTGCTGT